CTGGTGAAAATTTCATGTCATTAGCACCTCTAGTAATATATTTACTGAGAAAAATGGTGACGTGTTCAATACTTATTTTACCCGCTGTATGTCTCTCAGCTGCTTCTACATCATAATATAGCTTAATATCTTCAGTCCCTTTGTGTCCAAAACCATTAAATTGGCAGTGAGATTTAGAAAACTGCACAAAAGGCTCCAGCTGAAATCTTGCATAGGGCACCAAGTTGGCTAGGACCGGCCCTGGACCAACCTGTGGCGTACCTCTGATCTCATTCTTATCCATCCACTTCTGCCTCAGTGGTAGTAGCTGAGATAGTCTCGTCCAAATTTTAGTTCATTGGGCCTCAGGTAAGAACCGTTCGTACGCACAGATTTGTTCTTAAGTTGTGTGTACRAGTGATTTAGGAGAATTTGTAGCATTCACCAATGTTTTCGTATTCTAAGATTTTCTTCAGATACAAACAAAATCTACGAGTGGTCCAGACCTGTCGTATATTTTACGAGCAGTCAGTCTGCTGTTATCCAGATGGGTTTTCTTCATTAATAACTTTATATTTCATTAGTTTGAAGATATTTCGAATTGAAAATAAATCACATTACAATTATGTTGACAAGAGGCTATTCTGTTTGAATTAGAGTTATAATTTTAAATGTAATAATGTAGACTAACAACATAAAATGGTTAAATTAAATCGGCTATTAACTTTGTTGTATAGCACTACAATATTAATATGAAGTTATTTGAAGTTTTGAGACATTTTAAAATGCTTTTTTTTTCCAGAAACGCGTCTGACACTTGCACGCAGGGGGAGGAGGGTTGTGGTGCGCGACTGTTCCTCTGAATAAATGAAAACTATGTAACACAGTTATTTACACTGAAATTAAAAATACTTGACCAAAGAAAAACCGGAGCAGGACTACAGAGAGAGATAAATATGATTTCGATTTTTATTTCTGTGACTGTACGACCCACAGGAAACACAACATTAACAGCACATTTCATTCCTCGGCTTTAAAGCAGATCCTTTAMTTCCACAGCTGACGCTGCTAAAATTGACTTTTTTTGTGTGTGGATCTCCGAGAGCAGAACTTCAATCTCCGAACTCGTAAAGTTCTTCTTTTTTACTTTGCGATGTCACTTAATGAACACTTCCTGGTATGTGTGGCAGGAAACATATATCCTTATATGGTGTTTTTAGGGTGGTAGTTATGTAAATCACCTCTCCCCGTGTACCAGCACCTGGATACGCATTCATCAGTTTACGCAGCTCATTTACACACTTTTCCTGAAGATAGAAGAGTTTGTTGAATCTGACATGACATGTTCGTACGAACCCTTTGTACGAACAAAAGTAAGAGAAATTTAGKATAAGAATACAAACATGTTCTTAAGCAGGACCTGCCTGATTGGTCTGCACCCAGTTTTGTTGTTATACTTGAGTAAAGTTTTCTTCGCCTGTCTCTGTACTTGTATTGGTTTGTTGGGTAATTTCTGAAAGATTTATTAATATCCCTTCTGTTTTTGCCTTGCAGAAGTAGGCAATGATTAAAAAAGGGGGAAGAGAAGTTTGTGTAGAGCAGTAATAAAGATCAACAAGGTTATATTGACCACATTTAAACAAAGATGCAAATCAAATCTGGTTTGTTTCATATGAGTCACTGATCAGTCGGTGAAGTGTTTAACCTGATCGGGCCGAGAGGAACAGAATGAACGGTTCAGTTTGGTAAAACTGTTATACAATCAGAGAAAACTCGTATCTCACCCTGGCACGTCGAGCCTGGAGGTGTGCAGGGGACGAGAGGGAGGAGCGGGTCAGCGGTTTGCTGCGGGTCAGGGGTCGCAGGCGACTCCTGGTGAACGGTTCCGGTTTTTCTGGACTTCTGTAGACCCCGTGGTCCTGACTGACCCGGCTCACCATCCTGCTTATGACAACCTGAGAGGAAGAGAAAAGATGGAGCTAAAAAAAAGGCTAAAAAGAAGTTTTTCTCTTGATTTTGAAAGCTGAAGTGAAATCTCAAGAGTTCCTTCTACTCAACTTTAAGACTAAATCGAAAAAAATCACAAAACAAAAGAGGATTTATAATTTTAAAATAGTTGATCACCAGTTCCTGTCTTTCTAGCACCTCCCTGCTCTGGTTTCTCTTCAGCATTTAGTGGAGCTGGTGATGATGTGGTGATTTAAGATACCAGTGATGTGTCTCAGATTCTGAAAAATCTCACCCTAACCCAACCCATATACGTAGAACTGGAAAGTCCATCCCAGCTTGACCCCATGACTCAACTACTGTACCCTCTTCAGTGGGAATATCCCCCCGCTGCTGCTGCTGCTGCTGCTGCTGCTGCTGTGCTTCCCGCTCTCACCTCCTGTCACACACTGAGCTGATAACTGTGCAGCGGACAGCATTCATCTCTGGAAAAGAGCGGGCTTTTACTCCACAGAATCCAAAAATAGATGCGGAGGGATCTATTTTCTCCTCGTTTTTGACACACAATGCTTGTCTGTTCAGAAAATTCCCGCTCTGATACAGAGCGTTTGATGCAGCTGCTRATTTTCTGTGATCAGAATGACGTCAAGGTCACGGTCAAAAGAAAAAAAAACTATTTGAAAAAAACTATGTGAACAAAAATTCCCAATTTCAACATCCCATTTGTTGGGGGGGGGTGTATTTTCCAGGCACAGTCACAATCAAGTAACTATGTCACCTTCACTTGTTATGAAAACGCTGCAAATATCAAAACTAAATTTGACTTTGCTTCTGTCTCTTTAAGGAAGGAAAAGAACCTCCTACCATTTCCAGCACTCCCACTTCAGCAGGTCTTCACTACAATGTTTCAGGGGAGATCCAAGGATTTCTCAAACATGCATGGTGGGTATATTTACGATGAGGGAATGACATCATAACATGATATAAAGATCAAAAAAGTTTATTTTTTTGGTTTATTTTCACAAACTTTTAGAATGTTGCTTCTAAAACTAGGTGACAAAATTAAATGAAACAGGTGTCAGTTTGTGAGATTCTTTAAGAAAGGTTTTGACCGTGACATGTTTTTATCAAGCTAAACGTTTCTGCCCTGGTTTTTCTCAGGTTGTAGGCTCTTATCTTTCTGGCTGAGCTGCTCTGAAATGTTAATAATGTTTTCTGGTAAACATTTCTTCCACAGCTGACCTTCAGCTGAGTGTTTTTGAATTGTGCCACCCCAGGCCAGTTTTTTTTCCCCTGCAGACTCCCTGATGGTTTGCTGAAGAATCTTAATGTGATCCTCTTAAAACTGACAGGCTTTTTCTGACCCGGTGTTTAAAAAACATGACCTGAGCATCACATTCCTGTCATCATGCTTGACCATAATAATGGTGTTCTTTAAGCTGATTGCTTCTCTTTGACATTTTCCCATGTTGAAAGCATAACTGATTACCAAACCTATTTTATATTTCGTTTCTGAGAGTTTTCAAAGCTTCTGTTCGCCGTGTTTAACAGCTGAAACTTTTTTTTGTTTGCGTTTACCAATCTTAGGTTTGTGCTGTGCCGACTTAAACAAGCATTTTCTGATCCTGTTATTAAAACTGCTCAGAGGAAATCCACTTTAGAGAAAATGGCTTGCAAATATCAATCAAGTAACAGAGCAATTTCAGAATCTTATGGGATAACAGAACTGTAGAATTTGATGATTTCACACTTTAAATTCCCCAGAAAATTATACGCTCAAATTGTTTATCAAATGTGAGCAATTATTGACTGATATGTATTCAATACAAGCTAAACACTGACTGCACTTTTATGGATGAAAAGGACAAAATATAAAACAACGGGTCAAACAAACGCCGGTAACTTGACCCATTAAACTACGGGGTGCCGTTTGTAAAGTTACACAGTCAAAACTTACCACCAGTATTTTTATTTTATTTAGACTTTTATAAGAAAAAAGAACAGATTTATTTATTCAGTTTTTCACCATATGATTCATAC